TAATTTTACAATTTTTTAAAAATTCTCATAAATCGACGTTTTATCAATTTTTATTTCATATTTATTTTTTTTTCGTGCAATTTTGTGTGTTTTGTGTTATTTTTCAAAGTTTATTTGTATGGTGAGTTTCTTTACATTTGTTTATTTTATGGTTGTTTTTTCATATATACTTTTCATATACATTGGTTTTACTTATTTTTGGCTGTAATTATGTATTTTTATATTGTTTAATTTGTAAACCCTGAATTATTTAATTGTAGCACTGAAGATGGGTCAATTCAAGACCTGAAACGTATGTTCTCTAAATAAAAACATTTTTCATAAAACTGTTTTTTAATTACTGGATGGATGCCCAAGAAACAATTTTATTATATATATATATATATATATTAATATATAATTATATATAATTAGATGTTTTTTAGAAATTTTAAAGAAAAAATGATTTTTTCATTTAGTAGAGTAGCCTTGAATGATGAAATGATATTGATACCTGTTTTATAAAATCTTTATGAATTAAATACTTTAATTATAAAAAAATTATAGTATGGAAAATAACATTATTCAATTCTAAAAGCTTAAATCGTTTATTAGGAGTAATAAAACAAATCTTCATTATTTATACTTATATTTCATTACGTCATTGATAAGCATAACTATATACGCTATCTTTTGTTATATATGAGATCTCCGTCAGTATTGCTGTAAATGACCTGACTATCATTATTACTCAAAATACTTTCTGTCTGATCAATGAGAAGACTACCATCTGCTTGATCATCTAATGGGTCATGAGTTAATGAACAGTTACTGCCAACAGCGCTAGGTGTTATTAATTCAGAACTTTGAGGCAAATTTTGATTATCTTCATTATTAATTGCAGTGGGGACTGAATCTGTAAAATGCATTTAAAAAAAGTAAGATAAAACTATTCATCAAAAATATGTCCCTCATCCAGACTCCCCTGCCCCCCATGTCAACCCAAAATAAGCAAATCAACAACCCTCCCCGCCCCCCTATAGTGCTTACGTAATACTTGAACGGCCCCTAAATATCAGAACTATCAACTATATTTGCATTTTCAAAATTTTACCGCATTCGTTAAAACAATTAGTGATTTAATAGCATAATTATTAATAAGATTACTTTTCTCAACTTAACTTATCTTATTATTGGTTTGATTATCGTTTACAATATTATCAAAGATATTTTCATAAGAATTAATCTCATAATAATAAAACCAATTTATCAGAATACAACAAAAATTCAAGCCAATATCTAATAATATTTTTACGTTCGGAATTGAAGCATTTAAGTTAAAATATCAATTGTGAGTTTGTGTTCAAATGCAATTGCTTTAGATAACGTTTTAGAGGAAACGTCGACAAAAGATCAAATTTTGGCTTACGCACGTAAATTTGGTGTTAAACGATTCAGAATAACTTGAAACGCCAAAAAAAAAACAACTTGGCAAATCGGATTTTCTGGCAAAACACAAACTTCTACTTCGAGTACTCCATACATATAAATCAATTGAGTGCATTGATACTTTGAATCAATGCACTTCATTCACAAACTTTTAATATAGTATGAAAAAATTCCCATATTGTTTATAGTTTTGTCAATTTCCGATTTATACATTTTACAGTATATCATTGAATCTTACCGCTATTATTGAGATCATCTTTATTCCTATGTGTTTTCATATGAGCCCTTAATGATGCCTGCTGAGCAAATCGAGAATGACAAATTTGACATTCATGTGGGCGTTCTCCAGTATGGGTTCTAATATGATTGCGAAGCACGTGAGAATCAGCAAAACTTCTTGAACAAATTGTGCAAGCATAAGGCTTCTCACCTATAAGGAGTAAAATTTATGTCAAAAGAGCAGGCACAAAGAAGCTAAGAAAACATCATCTTAATTCAGTATATTAAATCTATAATTATAAATAAATAAACGCTTAGATATACAATTTAAGAAATAATTCTTTACACACTGAAGCATTAATTGCTTCACTAGAATACCAGAGATAAACGTTTAATTTTGGCTTCACAATGTTTGGGGCTATATCAATCGTCTCATTATCATTTAGTATAGTATAATTTTTGTTATTGGAACTGAATATTCTCTAATAACAATTGTTACATTCACAAGCGACGTTGATAATTATGACTAAATATATTGTTAGAACATATATTATAAACAATAAATATGCTGATAATTAGTATGGTGATTATTAATCACATAAGTAAAATATATTTGATGACTAATACAATAAATAATGATTATATAATATATATATATATATATATATAACAGGTATTTGAGAAAATTACCTGTATGCTTGCGTTCATGTAATCGAAGATTGCTGGAAGTTGCAAATCGTTTGTCGCAGTATGCACATTTGAAATTACGTTCACCTGTATGAGTGCGCATGTGTATTCGCAGTTCGACGGAACGTGCCACTCGTTTTCCACAGTAAGAGCAAACAAAATTTTTAATGCCTTCAATAATAATAATTATTATAATAATGTTTGATAATTAATTTAACTCTAAAAAATATGAGATAAATAAGTTCAGCAACCGAACTATGAATTATATTCACAGGTATGTTGTTATACATATATAATTTATTGCAGCAGTCAAAATAAAAAAAACTGTTTTTTACTTTTTACTATCACTATTTTATATGTAAGTTTTCACACTATATGTCATCATTCAGCAAGTTGAGAAATTCTAAAAAATATTTTACACGTTTATTCTTAAAGTAAAAACGAAAATAAACAATATTAAAAATAATGATAATAAATTGTTTTTATGATTATTAATACCTGTATGCCTTGGCATATGTGCCGTCAGTGCCGAACTGTTTGTAAATCTTTTCTCGCAGAGTTTGCAGGCAAAAGGTTTTTCACCTGTATGAGTACGCATATGTATTGTAAGTTCTCCAGATCGCCCCATACGTTTACCACAAATACTACATTGAAAGTTCTTAACACCTTTATTGAAAACAAAGTGTAACGTTAAATAGAAGTTAAATTGTTAAAGCATGAAAGCATTAATGTGTTGAATTTTGTTTGAATACTTACCATTATGTGTAAGCTGGTGCAATGATAATGATGTAGTGTTTGTGAAACCTCTATTACAAATTTTACAAATAAAAGGTTTTTCTCCAGTATGTGTTCTTATGTATCTGCAATCAAATAACAATATTTTACTTTATTTGACTTGATTTACAATATTTATAAAATAACTTTCTTTACTTTTCTTGATTTATACATTTTTTATAGTATCAAGAAGGTATATTATTTTCACTGTGCATACATTAATGTTGCATTTTTAAAATAAATATGTTCATTTAGATACTTGTTATGAAACATTCAATAACCAAAAAAACAAACTTTATCAATAATTTTCAACATTGAAATAGAAAATTAAAATAATCTATAAAGGTCTTTAACAATAAAAAAATATAATTAATCCAATTGAAAACAATTGCATCAAATGCTTGCATAAATGTTATTAATATGTTCCTAAATTTAATTTGTAAGAGTGGTCTTGGATTAATAAAAAATATATATTAGTAAAGTTTTAAAATGAACATGTTATGATCAATTTAAAGATGTTGAATATTCTTTTTACTATAGTTTACCTGCAGGCTATTCATTTGCACATAACTTTTTGAACATATATGACACTTATTGGGTTTTTCTCCTGTATGCGAACGAGTATGATGAAGTAGTGCCAATCTTGCAGGAAATCGTTTATCACAGTGCTCACATTCAAATGGATGTTGACCAGAATGTATTCGTTCATGATTCCTACAAATAACATTGTATTTTATTAATAGTAACTTAAATCATAATGAAATGTTATTGAGTTAACTTAAAATATTCCACTTTTTCTAGGATTTTATTTATGTTTCACACAAAAGTTTATAACTAAACAAAATATTTACCACAATGTTCTTGGATCAGAAAACGCTTTGTTGCACACAGAACATATCTCTGGCTTTTCTCCTGTGTGCAGTCGCAAGTGAATTCTCAACCCTCTTAGAGTTGTAAATCCGTTTCCTAAATTCAAAAAAATTATAATAATTATAACATTAACTATTAAGTACAAGCTAATTATTTAAATATTATATATATATAGATATATAAGTATATTATATATAAAAATTGTTTCATAATCTCTTATACCAGGCACCCCTGCCAGACTGAGATATGAAAATATCATGTCAACAATATATATTTATTTGTTACTATATATATTTATTTGTTACTATATAATTCAAATATTGATAATTCGTAATGCATATTTTCTACTTTTTGAAAAATACATACCGCAATTTTGGCATTGAAATTTTTTAGCCCCATGATTTTGAGCTCTATGCTTTATAAGAGCATTTATATTTAAGCAAGTTTCAGAACAAATACTACAAATTTGTGGCTCTAGGGGATTTGAAAATAATGATTCTCTTGCATTATTAATCTTTGATATAAACCTATTTTCATTCATAGTTGATTTCATTGTAAGATTGTCCTTATTTGTATTTATAAGATTTTTAGGCTTCACATTATCTTGGTGAGTAACATGAGGTTCCGGACTTTTGTTTATTTCTATATTGTTCATATTATGTTCATAGTCATCAGAATCTGATTCAACCGAAGGTGAAATATCAGATTTTAATTTAAAGGTAGCATTTTGTTTTTTTCTTGTTGATCGTGTTTGACTTCCAGTATAATTTACATCATAATCTAAAAATGATAATAAAGAAGTGAATGCTCTATAAATAATTATATCACCTTGAATGATTTGCAGAAAACACTTATAGAATTTATAATAAGAAATCTAGAATTGAATAATACATAATTAATGTATGATAATAATTAATAATTAATGTATGATTAAATCCAATAGTAAAACAAATATTGAAAACTTTTTAACAAGGTAATTAGTTTAAACTTAATAAAAATGTAACATTTTGAATCTTCTTTAGTTCAATAAACATTTAGCATTCAAGTAGAAATAAATATTGTTTTTCATTTAGGCAATTTGATAAAAAGTTCGAACTTGTTTTTCATATTGTGTAATAATATAACTCATAGAAAGAGAAGCCACAGAGATCATATCAGTTGCATTTGAACATTGCACTTCACCATTAATACCTTGATTAACTATGTCTAAAGGTTCACTGTCATCTGGAAGAAATCCTTGCTCATCTAGCTCCAACCATTCAGGTTCAACTACTTTATTATGATAATTTGTGCATCTCTAAAAGTGTAATAAACAAATACATGTGATCGCCACTGAAAAATATATATTCCCATCAAACTACCTTTTGATCCTTTATTTTTTTCAAATCTTGTAAAAAGCAATATGATTTTAAAATTTGAATTTTGAATTGAAAATATTGTAGAAATTTTGTTGAGCAAGCTACGCATATTTGACTGGGAAGGTCTGCATCAACAGACACCTGAAAGTTGTTTTTACATATAATTTTAATTGTTATAATATTACAATTTAAACAAGAAACGTACCAACGCGCCAGTTATCACAGATATGAGTTCATTAAAATGAACAGTATTGTTTTCACAATTGATAGTATTATATATTGATGTCATTTCATCACTAATCGTTAAACAAGATCTACATATTTTATCTGATTCAACATTTAATAATTTACAAATCATATTGTCCTTATTTCCAGTTTCCATCTTTTTCCAAAATATCACAAAAACTAACTATAACTTGACATTTGTACAAAATTATAAACAAACTCAGCCATATTGAAATATTGCATTTAGTGAAGTTGTTTATAAAAGATAGCGAACAACATATTTCCATATCTATGGCGGGCAATTTGAAATCCTAAGATAAATGATAATTAGATGCATAGATAAAAGAAGAGTGATTAGATGAATCTATTCAATTCAAAATTCAAATTGTAAAATCATATTGCTTTTTACAAGATTTGAAAAAATTAAAGAATAAAAAGGTAGTTTGATGGGAATATATATATACTTGTTTATCTATGAATAATTTACATAAAAAAATCAAAATAAAAACAAATAGGTAAAACAACTCCACGTACATGCTAGCAGACCATTTTGTTTGGGCGTGGGAGTTGTTATTATATAAAAGTTATTTTTGTGAAAAATGATTAAAATATTATATATTTAATCTTTATGTTCGCGCCAGAAAGATGGTGGACGAGCAAGCTGCATTTGTCGGAGTCGGACAATACTTAGTCTCTGGCAATACCAAAAGAAGACAATTTGCAACGATTTGCAACGTTAATCATGAGCGTTATTGTTTTGTTCATGTAAGTTGTTCACTAGTTTTCTTTAGTTTATTTTTGTGAAAAATGATTAAAATATTATATATTTAATCTTTATGTTCGCGCCAGAAAGATGGTGGACGAGCAAGCTGCATTTGTCGGAGTCGGACAATACTTAGTCTCTGGCAATACCAAAAGAAGACAATTTGCAACGATTTGCAACGTTAATCATGAGCGTTATTGTTTAGTTCATGTAAGTTGTTCACTAGTTTTCCGTATTAGTTTTGTTGTATATTTCCGAGTGTTTGATGTTATTTGTGTAAATAAATACTCTATTAATCTTAGCCAGTGTTCCTTATTTGTGCTTTTGGAGTCAATTCCTTCCTCAGCATCCAATTCCTACAGCGATCTGAAAATTCCGGACTTCAAGCCACCGTCCGAGTGGACCGCCTTCCAAGCAGATAACATCAAGTATATCCTTAATATACTCAATTGTACAAAATCCTCGGAATAGCTATTGAGTCAAATTCAATAAGCTATTCCGAAAGGGTCTAACCAACTCCTATCTTTAACATTGATCATTCGAGCGGGATCCTAATTTTGATTAGGATTTATTGAGTATATTAAGGAAATAGTAATCGAAGATGGCACTTGAACTTGACGTTGATGCAGAGATCGATCGACTAACAGCTAATGTATTTTTCAATCATCCAAGAAACTTACGACATTTCTCATCATATTGGCTCTTCTTCAAGTAAGATACAATTTTTTAAAAAATTATGCCTTTTCGAGAATGCGCGCAAGCAATGCATGCACCGTTCCGATGAAATTAATCTATTGAAACAGTTAGAAAATCCTAGCTATATTCCGGAATATGACCTCGCGAGAGCGTTGGAAAAGCTTTACGCAAAAATAAAGCATGCCGAAAAAATTTTAGATGATCAAAACGATTTATCTCAAATATCCAGAGCACTTTGATTAATTCATGCATTGCTTCAAACGCAGATCTTTATATACAAAAATATAATTATTTCACAACTAGAAGACATGCCACAATCATCATGTTCTTCCGACAATGATATGCTTATAAGTATTGATTCTTTGGAGTCTATATCTACTTGGTCCTCTAGAAGGATTAATATTTTCCTTAATATACTCAATTTTACAAAATCCTCGGAGTAGCTATTGAGTCGAATTCAATAAGCTATTCCGAAAGGGTCTAATCAACCGCCATCCTTAACATTGGTCCGTCGAGCCTTTTTCCTTTTAATCCTTAACCTACAATCTAACGGTCTTATCATAAATGTGTCCATGAATATTGAAAAACAAATTATTTTATTTAAGACTTATTTATTTTATTTATGAAATATAATTTATGGCTTCTTATATAACAATTGCACATAACCATTTTTTTTGCTCACAATTTCTAATATCTATTAAATTTATAAAAGTTTCTAATTTATTGTTACATATAATACATAATCCATTTATTTAAAAGTATTTTAACATATTGTTCTCACCAAGTTATTCAGTTATTCAGTTATAAAATCTTTTATTTCTAAATCTTTACTTATTGTTAGAAAGAATAAAATTATGCCAGCTAGAAGTGGTGGCAATCTACCCCAGGTTTAATTCATTTTCATTATTATAATAATAGTATAATAGTAATAATAACTATAATTAAGGATAGTCTAATTAACAAAATTTGATTTCAGCAGATCTTTCTTTCACCATTTGTTAAACCACAAACTATACAATAAATATATGACACAAAAACTTTGTCAGTTTTTATTAACAGATGACTTATAAAATTAATTAGCTTCTTTATTGTATTCAAAATAAATTATAATATCTTTAACTCAAAATTGTACATTATAAGTTATAATAAAATAACATAAGCTAACCATGACTTGGAAATTATTGGAGATTTGATGTCCTCGATTAACAATTTTATCATGATTTGAAACTATAAAGTTTTCGTGATTGGTATATCCAGCAGAACTCTTCAATGAAGCAGGAGATTCACCATTCTGTGGTCTGTCCAGCGGGATGTCAATGGTCGTTTTAGGCGCAAGAACGAAAAGATATCTAATAAAAAATAAACTATTTTAAAATAGTTGTTATGTTTAGGATTTGTTTAGTACTATTTTAAATTTAGAACCATTCTTGAGGAACATTTTAATGAAATATACGAATGAGCTGAAATATTAACAAGATATAAAATCCCCATCGCGGATTGTTTACAAATATAGATTACGCGAAACGGTCATTTTGACTGCGTTTTTCAATAAATCGTAGTAGTTAATTTTAAATTTGATTAATTACATTTTTTTTTAATTAGGCAATTTTGATTCGTGTTCAGCGTTAAGGGGGTTATTCTTTTTTTGTTACAAATAATGCAAGATATTTGTTTTTGTTTTTCTCGAAATGTATTTATCATAGAGACATGCGGTTTTTTTAAACAAAAATTACAAAGTCATAGAATATTACGTGATTTTCTTCTTTTTTGCGCCGTCATTTTTTATCCAGGGGGCGCCAAAGTCGGTCTTGCAAAATCGATCTCTTTTGCGGTGCCACAGATAAATCTGTTGCGCATCGCTCGAAACAAAAAAAAGAAACTACGTTGAAGAAGAAGTTTGAATCCAGTCCCCCTACCAAAATTAAAGAAAAAAAGCAAGAAGGAAAAAATGGCAGCTATTTAAAAAAAAAAGTGTCAAAAAAGGCCTTTTTTTGGGGCGAGAAGCTTCGCAAAATTTTTTTGCGTAATGTTATCAAGTTGTTTGAGGTAGAGTGACTAGGTATTGCAGTGGTGAACAAATTAAAAAAAAATGCAAGTCGATCCAAAGTCAATTTGAGAAAAACGTATTTAAAGTTTTTGATATAATGTACTAAATACTCCATTTAATTTAATGTACTAAATACACCATGGTGTTCAAAGATGCTGACACATTAAAAAGGTCATGTACATGAGGTATTATAATGAAAAAGAGACATCTGGCATACAATAGCTCGCGGAGGATCATACATATAGAGATAAACATATCTATAACTTCGTCAAAAAAATAGATATTGAGATGATTTTTTTTTACATAATTCTAAGGTTTTTAGCTTTCATAATATCAAAAAATCTCAAAACCGAAACAAAGAAAAAAAAAGAACAACTCCCTTAAGAAGTACATTGGAAACATATGTCGGACCAGTGTAATTGATGATAGTGTGCTGTCTTCAGAATGTACTTAATTTCAATAATCCAATGTAGATTCAATAAATCTACATATACTAACCCTGTTGCTATTTCGGTTGTATATTTCTCCTCTATCGAAACTTCGCAGGTAATGTTGCCGCTAAGAAATTCCGGTACCCTTAATAAAGCCACTTGGTGAGCATCGGACAAAGACAACTATCAGAAGAAAAACAGATCTATCAAATGCATTTGTTCATTATGCTATGTTATGCTTTTCCTAATAAAAAAATGACATATTAGTACTCTTATTAGATTGAACGTAAATGCACATCAAATGGATACGAATTTCATATATTCGTTTTTATAAAAAAAAACACTAGGAGCTTCTTAAAATCGAAAAAACAAAAATAAAAAAAACATTAAAAGTTTTGTGCTCAATCTCATTAATTCTGATTCATTAAAGAAAACTTAGTTTTATTGCATAAATAGTTGCAATTGTTATTTTACATCAAATTTAAGTTAGCATAACAATGCTAATTAACTTCTCTGACAAGGAATAGTACCTACTGCAAGTTTAGTCGATTCTGAAATAAAAAAATGGTCACTTTATTTCACGTAAAATTATAATGTTACTATTTTTGCATACATGAACTCTAATGCAAGCAGTTCTTGGCAAAGGTATTGTAAAATCATGGTTTCTGGTTACCAGCAAAATAGTTTTATATTTCTTTACAGTATAACTTCTACAGTATTATTGCATTTGAAGGTGTATCAGAATTTGCCCTACAATTTCAGACAGAGTATTTCGATGATAATTTGTTTAGAAATTTAATTACATTTAACACCCACCTAAACAGACAGAAACAATTAAATAATCATTCACTAATTAACGTAATTAAAATAGAGAAATGCAAACTAATACACAAAATGAAATATAATAGAATTAAAACAAGTACCACAATAGACATAAATCAAGATATACATGAACACTATACTAGACAACACAACAATTTTCACATTGAACACAATAGAAAGAAGAAATTGAGAGGAAATGTCATATGGAGCGCTAGTAAAATATATAATGATTGCCAAACGATATTAAGATGACCAATAATGACGATAAATTTAAAAGAAAAATAAAAACATATTATGGGGAAATAGAAGACAAAGAAGACTGGAAAGTTATATGAAGATATTTTAATTATAATAGATATTATATTGAAATAATCAAATGAAATGTATATATAAAATATGAAAACTGTTTTTATAATCTCTCATACCAGGCACCTCTATCTGACTGAGATATGAAAATAATGTATATATATGTATATATATATATATATAATATTACATTTTTTGAATAAAATGACTGTTTTAATCTTCTCTAAAATAAAGGTTTCGTCATGTACTACTTTTAATCTCTTGGTGACTATAAAAACGATCTCTTTGTTTTCTTTCCCGTAAATATGTTATGTTTCAGAAAATAGAATTTTACTTTTCCTAAGCAGATTTCAACAACGCGAACATTCACGTCAATTCTTAGAGCCGTTTGAGGGTTATAAAATTTTTATAGGCAGACGCACTAAAGAGTTGCATCAGGTTGTTTATTTGATGAAATAGTTCTTAAGCATTTTAGAACATAATAGATTTACATGCTGTTTTATTACAAAACAACATGCTAAATTTCGGATTGTTATTTTATTACAAAAGCAGTTTATTGAATCGTTAATTAATACATTCAAACATTATGCGAATAAAGCTGTTATCCAGATTAGGTAATAATGTAAGTAAAGTTAGATTTAGCATGCTAATCTCGTGCTTTGTTCGGTGACCTTTTGATGCAATATTGTTTCGATTGAATTAATATTTGTGTTCACTAAATCAAAATTCAATTATGTTTCAATAAATTATTTATTGAAATGAAATCAAGTTTACAGCCGGTAAAGTAGTTTGTTTTGAAATCGGTGCCGTCCCGAAAGTGTTAATTTATATAAATATAAATATTAAAGTTTGTTCAGTTTTACCTCCACTTGAATTCCAGGCACTCGAAACCATCTGCCTTTTGGCCATTGCCAAGGCGTGTACCTGTAGAACTCATGTTGTCCTCTGTACCATTTTACTGAATAGAGTGAATTTTCGCCACCAGACAATTCGTATCTGAAACGATTTAATACAAGGTAATTATTATTATTTCTAAAGAGATATGCCTAATTATAATTAGGCACTTTTCAATGATTTTTAAAAACATTACAAAGTTAGATCATAACACTTGAATATAATGTGGTAAAAATTGCGTTTCTAAAAAATTAGCAAAAATGTATAAAAAATGTATATAACATTTTTAAAAAATACATGAAATATAAATAGAGAGTAGATTAAAAATGCAAAAATCTCAATTACTTAGCTACTTACTCGCAACTCATTATAACATCGCCACCAGCTCTAGCAATAGGAATTATCAGATTAGGAGATGATATTATTCCACCACTTTGTACTGCAAATTGGCAAGAAATAATCATTTATTATTCATTTTTGCAAAATTATCTATTTAAGTTCAATTTATTACTTTAGATATCATAATTTTTTCCATCACTAATGTAAAATTGGAAGAAATTTCTGAACACCAGGTCGATAATATTAATTTTTATTAAAATAACTAATAGATGTATATTTAATATAAAGAATAATCATTAAAAAAAATAAAAGGCATAGTAATCATGTAAAGTTGTCAATAATGCTCAACTATTAGATCTTCTAAATAATTAAATATTTTTCAAATATGAATTGAATTTTTGTTGACACAGTAAATGTAAAGGAAACAAAATAATAGTATTTATCCCGGTGTTTATATTATTATTTTACTAATATAAGAGATTCTAAATTGAATTTCATGCATAATTAAAAAACTACAAGAAAAAAATATTAACATAAAATTATAAAAAATAAAAATATTATTAATATTTAATTCATAGTACGTACCTTGTATTAGAAGTGAGTGTATACATGAAACTAAAAAAATGAGTTGATACATATTTCAGCCTTGATTTAAACAATAAAAATTGCAAATTATTGTAAATATGTCTTGAATCCACTTACTCAAAATAAACATTTCACAAAATTATTTTATTGTCTATGCTTCTTATTAAATTTGTCCAAAATTCATTTTGGGATATTACACATGACGTATAGCATAATTAATTTAAAAAAAATATTATAAAATTATTATTGTTAGTAACAATAGTTCAGTTGTTCGTATTTTAATTGATTAATATAAAAAAGAACTAGCACATTTTTCATAGTTTTAATAAATTCAAGTTGAACATTTAAATAATTAAAATTAAGTTAATGCTTGTGATTTTTATTTTAAATTTATTCATAAGTTTTGACCAATTTTGCTTGTATTAGAATTTTTTATACGGAAATCAAAATTAGCTAAAATTTTGCTTATATTACATTAAATTGATCAATTTTAACAAATTTAACAATTATGGTTATTTAATTAAAATATCACTTGTGCGTCAGCACATAATAAGCATATAAATTATTTTATCGTTTTAATAAATAATTCAGTAGGTAATGTTAAATAATCAAGTAAGTTTTTATACATTTTTATACATAATTTAGATCAAAATATTGCTTATAATGCTTTTATTAAATATTTGTTATAACAATATTGTTATTGTATATTAAAAATTATGTATAATATTACTTATATTGAATTTACATTAACAATTTTAACAAGTTAATATAATAATATTAAACTGCTTTAATTAAAATAAAATTTTATTAATCACTTGTTTAGGTGCGATATTTTGATAAATATTTACTTTAGCACTTCTACAAAAGTTATTCAAAAACATATTTCACATTGGTTATCAGATGAAATCTTGAAGTTGTATCACAAATTTTATATATATTTACTCAATGTTAATATTATTTATTAAAAAAAAGATCGTCCCGCCATCGTAATAGACGTGCTTTCTCCTACAGCTGACGATAGTGTGCCGAAAACTACTCCTAGGTATTTTTACAATTCCAAGATGTTTCTGTTTACATTACGATTTGAATAATTGGGAGGGAGACCTCAGACATTAATTATCTCTGATACGAAAGCTAAAATATTTCTCTATAAAACGGCTTGCACATCACTTATTAATTAAACTAAGTGGGATGGGTGGCATCGTGCCTTAAGGCAAATTGCTGGAACTTTCCGTACCGTGACGAAATGTTCGAGGAATATTTAATGTTTTCAAATAGATTAATATAAATATTGTAACATTGTCTAATATTTATAAGAATTATATAAACTGAATTGCAGAGTTGAAATTATTTGTTTAAAGTATATTAGAACTATAGTCAGAATTAAAAATAAAATCTGAATTATTTTCGATATACAAAAAGTTAAAAAAAAATGAAACAAAATTTTTTTTTTTCCAAAATCAATTATTTTGTTAAGACAAGCAGAAAGTTCTTTGAATCAATTGAATCGGACGCTTAGTTCTCTCAAAAACTGCCATTTTTTGTACATTTAGCTCTGTATCTCCGAAATGGCTGGGCCTGCTTTTGCGAAAAACTAATAACCCCTTCTCCCAATCATTACTAATTGAATGTTTTTTAGATCATTCAAGAGAAATGTAAAAATTTTCAATTCCGATTTTCGGCCCATTACAATAACTTACCCTACGGGAAGTTAATTAATGGCAAGCAATGCAAATTTGTTAAACTAAAATTAATTATATCATTGATTTAATAAAATTTGATTTAAACAATTTATTTAACCATTTCAGAACATAACAGCGCAAAGCCTAGTAGCGCTACTGAAGGGATGAAACAATAATCATAATTAATAATTATTAATAAAAATAAGTTTAAAAATTTTAAATTACACTTCTAATGAACTAAAAAAAATAATTGTTTATGAAATCAATCTATTCTCGAAGTAAAAGCAATCAACCAAACTCTATAAAATCGTTCTTCCATTCTGTGATTGGGCGTTTATCTTCCAAAAAAACGTCGAATAAGAAAAGCGTCGAAATAGATATCGCTGTTCGCCGGTCGCGAACTAAATGTATTTGTCACATCTGTTGTTGAATCTTTTATACAAAGCGAGCAGCATTTGTTTGAGTTTCCATAATTTGTTAGGAATCTTAATAGCTCTTGTTAATGCACCTTCCGACATCTCAACATATTAGACACTATAAATACCTTACAAATCCTAATTAGCTCGAGTCAATTACTTCAAAATTAATTTAGTTATAAAGAGGTGTATGTGAAAATATATTATCAATACATACAATATATACAATTGCATATTGACTTATTTTGTTTTGTTCAAAATTTGAATTATCCATAAAACCAAAATTCGAATTGAAATAGAAAAATGTGATGCGATGTGTATATAGAACAACAATTCCCAGCGACGTTATGAAAAGAGCTTATTCAGACAAGAAATGTAGTAGGAACGAAGTAAACGCTTTTCTGATACTTTTCTTAGTTTCGAAAAAAAATAAAAATTACATTTTATTCACAAAGCAATTTCAGTGTTTCCATTCATTTCTATATTCTTATTTTATTTATAGAAAACACAACCAAATTTCAAATAAATCCGTAGGATAGAATTACAAAAAATCCATATGTAAAAAAGCTGTTTGATGTTGTCTGAATATATTTTAATCTACTTTTTTTCAGAGTTTTTTTTTGTGAAACAAGGAAACTATTCCGTCTAGTTCCGCATACGATTGTTATGTTTTCCCCTAATGCCTTATATATCCTACAACAGTCTTTTCCAATAAGCGGAGTCCCCGGCACGCGTTCAAGTTACTATTTTAACAGTCAGAAAGGAAATGGATCAATTACTTATATGTAAGTAAGATAATAATTAGTTAAAAAATGATTATTATATTGTTTTCTGTGACCCTTGCTTAGAATATTTTAACGTATATAAAAGTAAATATTAAAGTATATATTTCAAAATTAATGCAACAAATCCTAATATAATAATGAATTTATTTTTTGAAAAAATTTGATGAAATGAATAAAACTTTACTTTAGTAACGCTTGGTGATAAAATAATTAGAGGACTGCATGCAGGCCGTGGGTTGCTCATCCTTGATTTATTGTATTCGACGCTTTAACACAAACTGCCTAGTGCTTCAGAAGAAACAACCGAGAGACAAGGTAAGATAGCAGGCGAGTGGTGATAATATTTTGCAAATAAATCTCAGCAAATAATACTATTCACATTCATTTTAGAATTTCTTTCCTCGATGTATTATTTGCTAATTTCACATTAAATTTATGCATACGCGGTTAAAAGAAACACATACGGGCTTTCGAATAAAATTTTGAGGATTCCGATTGGCAGTAAGCTATATGTATGATAGATAAATCATATTAAATGTTGCTTAAATTCCTTCATGTCTGACATAATTATATATCCTGTCCCGAATTAATTTTCTGCAAATGTTATGATTTTGATAATTAATTAAAATTTTTATTATTAAGAAGAGTACACATTTGAATAGAGTATTTTTGGAATTGTATTTAATATTCTTTACATATGTAGCGGGTTACCAACACGCATCGCGGCTTGTCAACACGCATCACATGTCTACTGGACAGATAGGCCCATATAGTGACAGCACGGAGAAAACAAAACATAAATTCAAGTGTCAGATCGGATCTAGTTTTTGTTTGCTCCATGTTCGAAATGCCAAAATTATAATTCTTAACTTTTTTACCTTTTTTTATATAAATACTCAAATAATATCTACGTTGTGTAAATGATAAATATAATCACACATAGTGTTGTTACTATTGTCATAATAAACAATATACGTAGTATAAAGAACCCAAGTTTCTTTAGTGGTGACCGCAAACGTGAATTAATAGCACGCATATAGAAGGAAAGAAGGTAAGAAGATCAAGACACATTTAGAAGTAACAAAAAAAAATTGAAGTCTCATGAATTATTAAGAAAAGAATTTTTAAAAAAATATATAATTAATATAAATGGCTCACAACCGCCATAACTCTAAGAACATTCTAATCCTACAACTGAGACTCCGACCACGCACATCGAGAACAACAACAACACGTGCTCAATAAATCCCTCATTATCCTGGAAAATGAGTCGATTATGAGCACCACGGCAGAGGACAGGGAGCACCAACAAACATCGGCAACCGCCATTCAAAAGGGCCACATATACTCAACCGCTAACTCACCAGCGAAGGGCCACATACACTCAACCGCTAACTCATCAGCGAAGGGCCACATACAGTCAACCGCTAACTCACCAGCGAAGGGCCACATACACTCAACCGCTAACTCACCAGCGAAGGGCCACATACACTCAACCGCTAACTCACCAGCGAAGGGCCACATACACTCAACCGCTAACTCATCAGCGAAGTGTCAAATATACTCAGCCGCTAACTCACCAGCGAAGGGCCACATCTACTCAACCGCTAACTCACCAGCGAAGGGCCACGTAAGCAATCAACAAACTCAACAAGCCAACACGGCATTCAAAACGGCCACGGCCACGAACAAATAAAATTTATCACACAATCTCAACCAAAAGAAATTTACAAGGAAGTTCAAGATGGCAGTCAGAGATGCGAAACAATCTTTTTCATTAGGGCGGAGTGATGTAGCGGGTTGCCAACACGCATCGCGGCTTGTCAACACGCATCACATGTCTACTGGACAGATAGGCCCATATAGGGTGCGTTCGACTTGGACGCTTACGCGCTGTGAGCGCTCACGCTTATAAGCACGAATTTTTAGCGTTCGACTTGGCCGATAAGCGCTCAGAATCGATAACTAAATTCCGTTCGTTTTGGAAACTGTGAGCGTCAATAAGCATCAAAATGGCGGCAACTGGCGGTAACGGTAATTGTGTAAATTTTATTACTTTCTGGATCATTCAGCGGGATTATACACAATTTAACAATTAATAAATAAATAAAATTTGGTTTGCTTATGCTTAATTAATATTAATATTAAAATTAAAATTTAAAATTATTTAAAATTAATTAAATTTAAAATTAATTAATATTAATATTAATATTAAAAAATAATTGTGATATACAACTTGGCATTTTTGCGGGATTATAAAGAATTTAACAATTAATAAATAAATGAGATTTGGATAGCGTATGCTTAATTAATAGTAATATTAAAATTAAAATTTAAAATTATTTAAAATTAATTGAATTTAAAATAAATAAATAATATGAATAAAATAAAATAAATAATATGAATAAAAAATAAATGTGATATACAACTTGGCATTTTTGCGGGATTATAAAGAATTTAACAATTAATAAATAAATGAAATTTGGTTAGCTTATGCTTAATTAATAGTAATATTAAAATTGAAATTTAAAATTAATTAAATTTAAAATTAATTAATATCAATATTAATATTAAGAAATAATTGTGATCTACAGCTTGCTATTTTTGCGGAATTATAATGAATTTGACAATTAATAAACAAATGAAATGACAGATAGTAAAAACAACTGACGCTCACGCTCACGCTGCCCTACCTCTGTGGCGTGAGCGTATGTGAGCGCAAAATATGTGCTACGAGCATCCTACGATGGTGCTACGAGCGTACTTATGCCACACTCACAGCGCCAAGTCGAACGATGAAAGCGCGCTCACGGCGCGCTCACAGCGCGTAAGCGTCCAAGTCGAATGCACCCATAGTGACAGCACGGAGAAAACAAAACATAAATTCAAGTGTCAGATCGGATCTAGTTTTTGTTTGCTCCATGTTCGAAATGCCAAAATTATAATTCTTAACTTTTTTACCTTTTTTTATATAAATACTCAAATAATATCTACGTTGTGTAAATGATAAATATAATCACACATAGTGTTGTTACTATTGTCATAATAAACAATATACGTAGTATAAAGAACACAAGTTTCTTTACATATATTATACTTGAAGTTAAAAATTTAAGATACTTTACGTATATAATACGCTAACATACTTAAATTATAACCATAATTCAAATAAAATATGATATCCTAATGACGAATTTCATGTGTATTATTAAATATTTCATTTCATATGTATTATTAAATTTTTATTTATAACTCTAAATACGGTCCTGTTAGGGCATGATACCGATGTCATTTCTCCAAATATCCCTCGCGCTATCAGAAATAAAAACTTTTAAAGCGTCACAACACATCATGAACGAATTGGGGAATTGTTTTGACAGTGTTTTTCGGATCCGTCAACGCAGAGCTTAAAACGCGCATCGTACGTAAGACGATATATATATATATATATATATATATATATATATATATATATATATACAGGGCCGGTCCTGGAGTCCTCAGCGCCAACATGCAATTTTTTTTTCTAGCAAACCCCCCCCCCCTTGTTATTTCTGTTTTAACAGTTTATCATTAAAATTATAAGAATATTTACGTTATTTGTTTTAAGTACATTTCAATAACTCTGGATTTAGTACACAAAAAATTAGATATATATATAATATAAAAGCACATTGATTTCAAATTTATTAATCATTAATATCGTGGCGATTCGCGGGTTCTTCATAATCACTACCAAACTACTTCTAAATTCTTATTTTCAATCCAAACTATTTAGGACATCCAAACATTTCAGTATGTTTATTATTGCTTGAAATAAAATTTTTGAAAAATTTAACTTATTTATTTTGGAGATTTTATGCGATTTATTCTATTAAACAAATCATGATATTGCTCAAAAATTAGTGAAAAATGCAAAGAAATTATATGTTTTTTGAATTATATTAAAAAAAAACTATATTAAAATTTTTATTTCCGAATCTCGTTTTGGCGCCCCCTAAGGCGTGCGCCCGCATTTTTTGCATGCATCGCATATATAAGAGGACAGTGGAATGGAGAGGAGAAAGTGAACAGAGAAAATAACAACTGAAGAAGAAAAGTGGGCAAAGAAAGGACTCTACTGAGCACAATAGTGAGAAGAAAAGACTGGATCGGACCCTTCTACAGAAAGAGTGTCTCCTGCACGACGTCCTCGAGGATAAAATAGAAGGACTGAAAGGAATAGGAAGAAGAAGAATGCAAATGATTGATGACTTACGTGAGAAGAGAAAATACAGGGAACTGAAAGACGAAGCACAGAATCATGAAGCATGGAAGCAGAAGTTTGGGAAGGTAAGTACATGAAAAAAAAGGAGAGAAAATAGTGGTAATGAGAATGACGAAGGGTAAGGAAATCATTTATTTGGGGCGGCTCTCACATCATGGACCTGCCTTCGGGCAGACCACCATTTATTATTATTATAATAATATTTATTATTATTATATTATATATATATATATATACATATATATATATGTTTATTTATGTGGTCATTTATGGCTCTAGATTATGTGTCATCATTTAGCAGTTCATATTTATAAAAACACAAGAAACTTCCCGAAGGAGAATTTTCATGTTTTTTCCAGAAAATGCGACTTGGTAATATTATTATCTATCGACTTTTCAAGTCATTATGACTTGAAAAGGCTCGTTTGAGACCAAATTGTATTTTATGTGAGCCAATTTTTGGCTTTTGTCGACGTTTTTTCTTAGATAAAAAAAATGTGCTCGTTCTCGCAAAAAATACGGAACCGATTTTCAAAATTTAAAACCGTTCGAAAGATAACACTTGGAGATAGTGCTTATTAGTTATTGGCAAAGATGGGTCGGTCAGTTTCTTCGCAATTCAACTATTCATACTTTTTTAATGAAACTTAACATTTAGATAAAGTTCATGATCTATAAAGTACGAACATCCTAAAATATTACAGACCTACGAAAAGTCTAATTATAAAAATCATATTATTAAATAATTATAAAAATTAATTAAATCTTGGAACTTTTAGCAGCTTTATTCCAAGCACATAATATAATTACGTACATTCTATATGACAAGTTTGTATAGTACATTAATTGGAAATCGCATTTACTATAGCGAAAACTTTATTTTCGAAATAAATGAAGTTGATAATTTTATCTAAATAGCTAAATTTTCAAAAGACCCACAATAATGTTCTTGTGTTGCTTTATGCATCAGGATTTGAAAAACTTTGGACACACAAAAATATATCAATCCATCTTAAGTATGCTTAAAATAATTGAATTCTCGCACATAAATTGTCGTATTCGCATATAATATACTTAAAAATTAATCTGCAATTATAAAAAAATAGAAAAAATGGCTTTAATATTTAATAATACAACATTTATTTAAATATTATAAACACATATATAATAACACTTTTTCTAACATCAAGAAATAATGTTAAATTTTATTAAAAAAAATATTACTAATTAAAATTTTACTAGTTGTACAATGCGCACTATAAAAAATGATATAATAACTTTCAATTAACTAGATTTCACTGGTAAAAGTTTTACTAAATAAAAAAGAAAAGTTTTGAAACACATAACAATATCACTTATATTAGGCCTCAAACATTTTATCAATGTTTCATTTAGCATGTAATTACTAAAAATAATAAACACAATACTTTCATTTATTTAAACGGTGTAATCTGGAAATGTGTTTAATAAACATTTACCTTATTTTATAATTAATTTGGTTATAAATTTACGAAAAATTCTCAGATATATATGAACATTTCCAAATAAACTAAAACAATTTGAAAATGTATGTGATGAATGTCATAAGTGAATGGCAGATACAGGTGATAATATTAATATCTTATACAAGTAACATATTTCTGCTTATAGTTCTACCGTGTTTTTATTCTGGTAAAATATTATAATTTAAATTCGAGACTAATCAGACATCGTGGCTCACCAGTGATGAATCGTCAGCGCTTAGCGAAGATCTATTCAGTGCGATAGTATTTTGCGCATTTGTTTCACGCCTGGACGATTTTATAGTCTGCTCCAGTCTGGACAACGCACTTTGAACTTGATATAAGCTCTCCATAATCTGAGCGGACACATCAGCCAGTTCTGTTTCGGTGCGTGTCAGGATGAATATATCTTAATAGAAAAAAAGAACAATTAAAATACTATTCAGCACATCCTTTTTAAGTTAAATAAAACTTTTTGATGACATATATAAATGATATTTTAAGTTTAAAACATGCAATTAAATCATAGATTTTTGTAACTTATACTATATTATCATTTAATTGCAGTTGTCTTGCAAAAAAATTATATGCCACACAAAACTTTAAACTTACTTGGTTTATCTTGTGCCAGAATATTACAGTACATGTTTAGTACTAAGGCCACATCGTCGTCATCTGATGAATATGCTGATACTGTATTCAAGGAATCACCAGACAAAGATTCTGGAAGAATCCAGGACTGGCGATATTTTCGTACGTGGCATAATGCAGCATTCCACCTGTAAAGAGTTTTGAAAAGCAATAATGAAAAATTAAGTAAAACATTGCTATCTTGACTATCAGAATACCATAGTTAATTTTTATCTTTAACTGTGTACTAACCTGCCTGACTTGACAAGTTCCAGCAATGCACCCTCAACCTCTCCTGGAGGTGGCGTAGTGGGAGGGGGCACAGGACTCGCTGTTGGGGTGTCTTCTCCAGCAGAACTTTCTTCTTCACAAGATCTGCATAACGCGGTGCGTACATTTTGCACTGCTACAGACATATCTGCTAACTGAAATGAGAAATATTATTTATGAATGAATAACAATATTAAACTTTCAATTTCAAGGTTTAAAGTATGAACAAAATAAGTTACCTGTGCAGCCTTAGCAGCTGTAGTAACTGCTGATAACATTTTGTTACAACTATCGATCAGCAATAAAAGTTGGAATAAAAGTTTATATATCGCACGACCTAGCTCTGCTAATATTTCTTCATGTTGATAATCTGATGGTTCTGGTGGCTCAAACATCATTTGCAGTTTACAATTTGCTCGAACTGCGTCTAAACACTAAGTAATAATTCAATTTTAACACTAATCCATAGATTATGAATATTGAGATATAATTGACATATGCAGTGCAATATGAACTGATTCAAAAAATTATTATTTGCACGTGCATTTTCTGCGCATTTCTTTGATATTTGTGTTATATAAAATAAAATTTCTATTTGAAAATAAATGTAGTCTTACTTCCGTGACATGATCTTTTCTATCAAAATATGTTTCTAAATGCTCCTGCACTTCCAAAACACCGAATCGCAAACTTTCTGCTAGACGGGGACTGTTAATTCCGCCGAGAGCAAACCTGCGCGAAATTAAATACAAAATTGAAATGCATTTTGATTAAACTGAGAAAATGTAATTTTAAATGTAGTGAGAGCCAGATTTAGAATACTGTAATGATGTAGCTTATTCTTACCCCGGCACAATTTCATTAAGGCCAAAATCAAAAACGATAATATCAGGCATTATGCAAATTAGTTTTTACCATATTCGAGGTGGTTCTGCTTTGTAAGAAAGCAAATCAGCTACTGATGATATTCGATCCCCCAAGGCTGCTCCAGGTCCTATTAAATACATCAGTGCTTCGCGAGACATTGCAACACTTTTCTTTATCACATCCTGAATAAAAATAATTTCATTGCAAAATCGTATTTACAAACATGATAATTAAATATTTCTAACTCCAAAACGAGAAGCTTCCAAAATTTCAATAAAACAGATCTTCGTAAATTTAATTTGATTAGATTTATGCTTACCAAGAGTAATTTAGAGAGCACTTTGAATAAATCAGGAGCATGATGTGTAGATTGGTGTGTTAATAAACTCTGCATTTCTTTTCTCCAGGCATCTTCAGTATCATCTCTCATAGAGGTGCGGAATGACAAGAGTGCAGAAAGGTTTGGTGATGCATTGCATGGTGTAACATCGCCGAGATCTCCAGCACTCGAACCACTAGGAAATAATATATATCATTGTGATCAGTTAGTAATCTATAAAGGTTTATCAGTACAAAACAGAAAACAACAAAAGTTTGCGAGACAAAGATCTAAATCATGAAATTATTACCTTGATACTGAATCATTCCTCGCTCGATGTTCTCGTAAACTTAAACTAGATGGTGGAAAGCCAGCAGATGTTGATCCACCCTCTCGCCCAAATTCAGGAGCTGCAGATACTTCATCTAATGGAGATTCTGATTCCATTTCATCATCAGATGATTCCTCTGGCATTCCACTACGAGCCTATCAAAATAAAGAGTTGATACATCCAAATTAGAATAATTTACTATTATAAAAAGTAACATAGTATCAGATATTGAAATTCACTGACTTCTAATCAGTGCATTTGGATGCAGATTCTTATAGTATTTAAACAGGTTTATTGTAAATATTTTAATACCTTTCTTTTGCTTAAAACTGGAGTTTCTTCACTAAAGCTTTCTGTTTGATTTGCCGATGAGGAAGGTTGATCCAAATCACCGTCGCTCAAGGGACGCCTTCTTACGCCCCAGTTGAAGTTATCAGTACTTTCGCCCTAAATTATTTATTACATATTATCATGATAAATATTATATTTTATATTGTATAAATTCTAAAAACCTAAATTTTATATTAATTAGTAACTAAAATATATTGCTTTTATATAATATAATTTTATAATACATAATTATATCCGTGTTATATGGCACAATTTCATTAGCATCTGCCTAAAGTAGAAGTAAAATAGACATTAAATATAATTTACTGACCTCGACACTTTCGCTTTCATATTCTAAGAAATCGAAGTCCTTGAATACACCGAACTGATCAGGATGATCATCTCTTCTACTGCCACCGCTGAGATCATTTGGTCCTCCAGAAACTTCTTCAGTGCTACTTGCCATACTACTTTGTCTTTCCATTAAGTCTGATGATTGGCTAAATATCACCTGAGGATATTAAATGGAAACTACAGTAAATATTATTAAAAAAGGTGAAAATAGTAAAATCCATAAAATATATTTATTTTGCTTTCCCCATCACTGATGAGATATATACTGTGCAGTTGCTATTTCAATACCTTAACTGAAGTAATACGTTATAAAATATCATATTCGTGTTTATTAAAAAATATAGTGTAATATGTAGTAAACATAGTGCTTTACCAAATAAGAAATCGTGTAAAAAATTTGCACATGTGTATCAAAATCAAATTGAATATTTAAAATGAGTATTTCGCTTGTGATAAAAGTGCATACAAGCATAAATAAAACTTTTATTTGATAGTGTGGTAAATTTATTTTCAAAATAATTTTCAGCGTGTTTTGATTACAAGCCAGATAAACAAGTATACTTTATTGGTTCCTGGGACCTGGACTCCTTTCTGATTTACCTTCGAACATATTGAATTTAATATTTCATCCTATTAACAGCGGCATGATAAAATTGCAAATATATAGTATATAGAATATTTTGAGTATACTTGGTATAGATTATTTACTTCACACTAATGAAAATAATTAACCTGAGTCTATTCAGGTAAAACTATTGATAAATAATAACTTAAAATAATTTAAAGTACTTACAGAAGGACTCTTCGGTAATCCGACACGTTGGCCACAAGTTGAAAGAAGGTTTACCATATTTTCTCTGACGCGGCCCTAAAGGAAATATATATAAAACATTGATTAAGTTAGCATTATTATATATATAAAACATTGATTATTGAAACAGTAATTAACAAAAAGCGTTTTGATCAGTGAATCATAAAGAAATAAAACGTAAATAAAAATATTAATACTCTGCAGCTTTTTCGTAAAAATTACCATGTTAAGAAGGATTGAATACAAATGTTATATACAAGATAAACTACAATGATATCATTAAGTCCATAATGGCATCATATATATAAATCCACAGATATTGTATACATTGCATGTTATAAATTTGAAATGCCGAGAAAAGTGAACTGAAGTTCTGAAATTGCAAATTCTGATAACATGTATAATTACCTGTGATAACCATGGTCTCTTCCAGCCAGCCAATGCCGTATTGTCCGCAGGTGACAATGAAACAGAACGTCTAGGTGAACTAGGGTATGCAGGGCACAAAGCAGTTGAACCATCAGCAGTCGTCGATTGAGGTCCAGAATTATTAGCTGAATTATTAGTTGAAGACTGGCCTTTTGCAAGATATCTACGGCCTATCAATGGAGTTTGAGAAAGATCAAATGTGAAGTCCATGGTACGACCAGGTAGTTCCTAAAAATAAAGAACACATGTTTCTTAGTTTGCAAGATAATCATATTTTTGTTGAATAAATAATTATTTTTAAAATACAAGAATTTCCTACAATTAATAGATTCGATAATATGATTACACAAATTTCATTCCTGGCCATATAAAGAGGTTAAATTTTCATCAATTTTTTCTCAATATTACCTTTTTATCATTTTCGGAGAATGATGGATGAGGTGGCAATGGGCAAGACTCCCATAAATGCGACTGCGGAGCAGGAGGCACAACGAGACTGCTGCTGCGATTCACTACTAATTTCAAAATTTTCAAGGCCTCTTTCCAATGAGTACCCTAAAATATTCAAATTAATATTTAACTAGCTTTCAAATATAATTTGTGAAATTAGTCTCTTAATTAATGCATTGGGTCAATCACAAAAAAGATATTTTTTTTATAAAAAATATCTGATCTTACCTCTAAATATTTTGTGATAACTCTCAGTAAATCCGAATTTATAGTCTGCGCTTGTGGAGTCGCCAAATCTACGTAGTGCAACATACAGTGAATTATACTAAGAATAGGTAACTGAACTGCTGGAGAACCTTTCTCTAGAACCTCAACTAAAAACGCGAGCATGTGGAGACCAAGGTGAGCATATGTATCGTATAAATACTTTACAACGCATTTTGTCCATTGGAAGCTTTCTTTGCAGAAAGTTCGGCGACTGTATAATGTCATAACGGTACCTAAGTATTCGAGTTTCTTACTTTTTTCAGTGCTAACCTGTGGAAACAAAATGTAAATATTACTTATATGGTATCTTAAAATAATAAATTAATATTCATGTACTTCAAGACTTATTATAGAACAGTTATGATAAAATTATAAAGCATTTTCAAATATTCTTATACCTGAGCAATGTTTTCAGCGCTACGAATACATAATTCATTAGCGTCCTCGTAATTCAAAACCATATACGGTAATAAAGCGACAACATTCATAGGAAAAGCGAGACTTTGAGTTGGATCTACCACCGCCAAATCTAAAACTGGTGTAAATTGCGAGAGCAGTATAACAACTGGTTCGTATGTATTTGGATTTGTACATCCCTGAAAATATAACAAAAGTATCAATATAACAATCAAAAATGTAAAATTCGACAATACTGGAATGTCAACTAAATTGATAAAAGAATAACAAAAATAATGTATTATTTTCTTTTTGAAAGAATAAATTTGTTATAATAATGACACCTTAAGCAGAAGGGCATGTACTCCAGGAAATGAAGTCCAACGAAGTTGCTGTTGAATTTTCTCTATCTTATCTCTAGCATCAGGTCTATCTAAAGGTAATCTATGTAGAACTCTGCTCAGTAATCTGCAAATTACAAAAATGAAACAAAATATGTATTAGTTTGACCTAAAGAATTTTTGCATCATCACTTTATAACAAATACCTTGCAGCAAGTAAAAATTCATGTTCATAGTCCGATTCCAATAGACCGACAGCCAACCAGAACAATTGCGCTAAAATAGTTAACTTGTCGTCTTGTGTTTGTGTATCGCCTAATAATTTTAATGACTGGGCGGATCGAGAACGCGATAAATTCGGAGGAAATTTGTTAGCACTGGAACTTGTACGACTGTCCACTTCTGTAGATGTTCTCCCACGCATTTCTTAATTAAGTAATAATAAACATCAATTTTATACAAACACAACTTATAACAGAAATGTATTATGAAGATTTGTGCTAACTTTCTAAATACATATACACATTAAAAGTAAAAAATATATTATCAAGTGTTACGAGCATTCATCCAATTATTCATTGATTAAAGATAAAGTTAATTCAAAACTCGCTAATGATTCTTAGGTAACGTTAACTTCAGTGTAAATACTACCTATCATTATTGATTTTATGACTAGCATTCTTTTCAAGTTAAACCTGATTAAAACTTCACCAGTACGAAAATTTAAATAGAATAACATATTAAATTATTATTTACAAACCTTTGTTCTCGTTAGCTGGTGAACCCATAGCCTTACGAGTACAATATGATACGGAATAGCTCGTACTTCGCATATGGCCACTACAACTTGGAGGTTGTGGGCTACCAGG